CCTTTCTATTTGTATTTCTTCTTTTGAGTTCTTATACTAGGGAAACTCTCTTTTCATGTTTTGTTTTTATTTTTCTCATTTCATTTTAGATCATTTCTATTGTTCAGTTCAGATTCAGTAGCCTTTTCCTCTGCAATGTCTGTAGTTTTCCTTGCATTGTGTTTCTCATCTCCATAAGTTCAATTTAAGTCTTTTAGAAGATGCCTTTCAAGGGCTGGCCAGATAGCTCATCAGATTAAAGCGCCAGCTCAGGCAGAGTCCTGTGGCCAGGGTTTGAGCCCCAGCCTGCCATGCTGGCCGTGCCCCCAGCCACACTGAGCTCGTGAGTGTACACCTGTAATCCCCCTGCTTGGGAGGCTGAAAACAGGAGAATCACTACAAATCTGATCTACATAGTGAGACCCTGTAGACTCTGTCCTAAATACATTTAAAAATTTTAAATTTTTAAAAATTTATTTATTTATTTAGAGGCAGGGTGTCACTATGTAGCCCAGGCCTGCCTTGAACTTGTGGGGATCCTCCTGCTTCAGCTTCCTGAGTGCTGGGACTGCAGATGTGTGCCACCACACCCAGTTTAGTTTTAAAATTCTTACATATCTGTTTAAACTCATCCTCCCAGATGGAGTGGCTTCACAACAACCTGATCTTCTCAGGCCTTGCTTTTGTGATTTCACTCAGTGGTTCCACAGCTCTTCCATCCTGGGCTGGCCCTCTCTTCAGGCAGCAACCCTTAGTGAAGAGCTTTCCTACACTGGCTGCTGAAAACAGATCCCGTCCTCAGCTGCAGGAGAGTCTGTTCCTGGAGTCTCGCGTATGGTAACTTCCCCAGCCCTGGGTAATCTCCTCACATGTCTACACTGATCATTTCTGAGCTGAGTGCTACAGCGGAACCTTCTGCCTCTCCCTCTTTCCGCTATGCTATCGTGTGAGCTCTGCTGGCCTTAACCTCCCTTAATGGTCAGCTCAGCCTCTGCCACTCAGCCCATCTGCTGGCTCCACCTCCCCTCCCTCTCCCTGCCTTGCAACTGGAAACCCCACTGAGGTGGTGAGCTGAGAAGACAGAAAGGCTCCTGTGGTTTGTCTTACCAGCCTCTCTGGGATGTCTAGCCTTTATTGCCTGATCCCTAGGCTCTAGAAAGCTGCTGTTTTGTAATTGTTGGTCTTTGTGTTTTGTTTTTCGGTTGTTACAGACAGAAGGGTAAAGCTCTGTTATTTCACCTTGGTTGGAAATGGAAGTAGTCCATTATTAATTTTTAGTGGATCCATAGAATTCCCCTGTATGTTTGTGCCTTAAATATAGCAGTCTTTGGGCTGGCCAGATAGCTCAGCGGACTAAAGTGCTTGCTTCGGCAGAGCACAGTGGCTTGGGTTCAATCCCCAGAGTGCGGTGCCAGCCCTGCTCCCGCGGTATGCAGAAACAGCGATTGAGAGTGGGCATGGTGGCGCATACCCATAATGCCAGCACTTGGGAGGCTGAAAACAGGAGAATCATTACGAGTCCTATCTACTTAGTGAGACCCTATCTTAAATTCTTTAAAAAAAATATATATATATATATATATATCAGACCATAATTCCCCCATTTTGATTTGAGGCAGCATCTTGCTGTGTAGTTCAGGCTGGCCTTGAACTCACTATGTAGCCCAGGGTGACCTCAGACTTGTAGCAATCCTCCTACCTCAACTTTCTGAGTACTAGGGTTATAGGTGTGCACCACCACACCAGCCCACCAGTCCCCAATTGATAGTCTGTTCTTATAAGAAATGCTGCCGACTCCAGCTTTGTCTGTCTGTCTGTCTTGGCCTCCTTTCATGAGAGTCCATCACGAAAATCCCCATCTATGGGATCTCCTGCTCCAAGGGTATACTCATTTATATGTTGGTTTACTTGACCTTCAGTATGCACTTTACCATCCGCAATGTGTCAGCAATGGATAGACTTCATGTGTTTTTAATTTAACAAGTTACTGATGTCCTCTAGCTACAGATTCAGTGAAAGTCCTATTTTTAGTTTTTCTATCTTCTGTGAAGAAATTACACATATGATGGCATTTGCAAATGTGCAAATTTGCAAAAGCCTGCTGACCTTCAACAATGTGAGGGTTTTTTTGTTGTTGTTGTTTTGTTTTGTTTTTGTTTTTATGTCAGCTTCACTTTTAGGAAGAGAGTGTTTTTATTCAATGGCCCAGAATGGTCCTAATTAGATATCTCAGCTCTTCTTTCTTTCTACTCTTAAGCTACTTTTGACTTGTAGCAACTTGATTTCCTTCTTCTCTTTCAACCAGGGCTCAGGAACAGCATTAGGAAGGCGCAAAATGCAGCCTTCTTCAACAGCAAGTGACCTCACTCCAGGTGGGGTCTCCTCCAAGTACACAAGTGCTGACCACATTCCAGATTCCACTGGCGGACCAGGTCAGGCCTTACCAGGACCCAGTGCCACAGGCCCTCTCTATGAAGCGGTCCCTATCAGGGAACGGGGCAAAGGCCCCTTTGCTCCTGGTAGAGAACAGTATGCAAGGGCCCGTGATGAAGGTAGTATGTCAAGACTCTATCAACCTTCTGCACCCCAATTAAGAACAGAGTCAGACCACCACAGGAGTCGAGAACAGTTTACTCCCACGTATCCAAGAAGAGATATGTATACCAGCCCAGCTCAACAGGACTCACCCTTGGCCCAAGAGCACTATCAGTATGTGTATCCAGATCAGCAGGGTGGGGTGCCCACAGGCCAGGGGCAAGTCTACCTAAGACCAGATCATCAAGAATTAGGACTGCCCAGCATGGATCAGCTTGGATTGCTATATCCTAGCACTATACCACCTGATGTGGTACCCATCAGCGCAACCCAACTTGGTATGCTGCCGCCTCGAATAGATGGTCAGGGATTGGTACCACTCGGCATGGATCAACATGGATTTGGAATATTTGGCACAGATCAGCAAGGACTGGTTCCCCCTGGCAGGGGTCAGCAAGGATTAGTACCTGCTGGCATAGACCAACGTGGATTGCCTCCAGTTCCTATTGATGGACGTGATTTGGTATCATCTGGTCTGATTCAAGTTAGTGCAGACCAGCAAGGCTTTGTACAGCCCAGCTTGGAAGCCTCTGGCTTTATACAACCTGACACAGAGCAGCATGATTTGATTCAGACAGACAGAGATCAGAGTGCTTTGGGGAAGCCTGATGCATATCAGCCTCGCTTGGCCCAACCTGTTGTAGATCAACGTGATTCAGTGCAGCCTGCTGCAGATCAGCAAGGTTTGGTGAAGCCTGGTGAATATCCATCTGGTTTAGTGCAACCTGGTAAAGATCAGGATAGTTTGACCCAACCTAGAGTGGGCCAGCGTGGGTTAACACAACGTGGTATGGCCCAACAGGGTTTGATGCAGCCTGGTGTAGATCAGCTTGATGTGGCACAGCGTGGTACAGATCAGCCTGGGTTGGTCCCCCCTGAAGTGGGTCAGTATGAACTCATACAACCTGGGGCATTTCCTAGTGGTGCATATCCACCTGGTTGGACACAGCCTGGTGCAGGTTCACATAGAATGGTCCAACCTGGTGTAGGTCAACGTGGTTTGGTTCAGCCAAGAGCTGATCAAAGTGGTTTTGTGCAGCCTGGCATACCTCAGCCTGGTTTGGTGCAGCCTGGAATGGACCAGCATGGTTTGGTACAGCCCATTGCAGATCAACAAGGCCTGGTTCAACCCAGTGCAGCTCAGCCTGGTTTGGTACCACCTGGTACAGTTCAGCATGGCTTGGTGCCGCCTGCAGTGGGTCAGCATGGTTCAGTGAAACCTGGTGCTGATCAACA